AAATGCATTCAAAATTCTGAATAATTTGTAATATATAATTATTCACGGTATTTAGAAGTGCCCACGATAACAATATCGTGCATATTCATTACCGTAATATATCGCATTACCGAATACCGGCACAAGTCTAATTTATATATATATATATATTAGAGCCCAACCGATATGGGTTTTTTGTGCGCCGATACCGATATTAGGGAGTAAAAAGACCGATACCGATAAATCGGCCGATATTCTTTGTGTAGGCTATATTATAGTACAGTATAGTCAAAAGTTTGGACACACTTCCCATTCGTGTGTCCAAACTTTTGACTGGTAAGTGTCTATTTATTCAGAACTAATAAAACTAATTATTAGTAGTAAAGGAACCAGTGTTTATGTTTATGCAAAGAATAAGTGCTAGTGGTTTATTAAATAGCTATTAGTCACTATTGGTATAAGTACTAGTATGTAATGAATAAGCACCAATATTTAAATAAGTAGTTATTACTAGTGAAATTGGAAAGGATACTAGTTGTCACTACTGGATTAGATACTAGTAACTATATAATACCATAATCACAGTGATTCTCAAACACTCTCTAGTCTCTACATGTGTATACTGTAATGCTCAAAAGTGAATCGATTTTTTAATATTCATACATTATAGACATATATAGACATATTTTTGAAGCACTGACATGTGCAAATGGATTGTATTGATTTCTCAGTTTTAAGTGTTGGAAATAGTGTGTGATAAGAACACCAAGGTTATTCTAGCAAAACTAGTTTTTCTGGTCATATTTTGAGAATCAAGGAGAAGCGCTCTGGGTTTGCATGCTAAGATACCAATGCTCCCAAGGCATCATTTGTGAGCCATTAATACATGTGCTCACTATGTATATGGTTTTGAGAGCTTTTAAATTCTAGCAACCCTGTTAGAGGGACACCATAAATGTCAAAATATGTAGTTATAAAATATGTAATTGTCCTTTGTCTGTAAGGCAACTATGCATCCAAATGTATTCCACTGTTGTCACGCACAAGATCTTATTGTTGAGGTGTTTCATGATAAGCCCATGTGCGTTAAAAAAGGAAGGCACAAATCATAGTGAAGAACCGAGATGAAGGGTTCCTGTGAAATGTAATGAACAGTGAAGGACATTCAGCTGAGCCAGCACTCAGGTTCTCCATCTATTTTACGCCTCTGTGCAACTGAACACATCCGCATGATCAAATATTTAATAATGGCTCCTCTGTCAGTAAAATCTCTGGTATTGATCCCCTTTTGTACACTAAATGAGTTTTTCAACAGCCAGTGAGACTTTCTCACACTCACACAAAGGCAGTTTTGAGCATTTCTGAATTAAAGCAGAAATATTTCCATCTCACACTCAGTAGACACTGTGTACTTCTTGGGATGGCTAATCGCCTACAACTGAAAGTATTCCACACCCCATTATGACCCAACACCCACATGTAATGCTGGCTTACCTCAAGTGTACTGTCTACAGTTCATATCAGTTCTCTGATAGGCGGGTATAAAGACATATTGACATGTCTGGACATATACACACACACGCTTTACAAGACACCCACTGGTTTTCTAATCAGTCACATATTGTGAAACCGTGTTACACACAAATGCACTGGGCCAGTCAATGAGAAACAGCCCAAGGGACCTTTTGCGCCAATCTCTTATGGACTGACCTCTTATCTCTCCCTACTCCCTTTATCCCCACTCCATTCATCCTCTATGGACTAATCGCCCTGAGATCAATAATCCCCATATTTCCTTTCCGAAGTCTTATGCCATTAACCCATTTATGGCTCTGTGAAGGATTTCTGTGTGCATGTGTGTCAGGGTAATGGGGGTAGAATATAGGAGGTTAATAGGTCAATGCATCCCCCTCTTCCCCAGGGTCATCATGCACCTATTTTTTTTAAAAAGGCACCAGTGTGAGTCCTTGGAGCCAACTGGCAAGAAAAGACATGACCAGGAAGAAAAAAATTCACTTTTTAAAGTGTTGTAAGATGGGATAATCTAATAGTACAGACGAATTTAGACATGTGAATGGGTGATTTCTGACACAGAGTTTCAGATAAACTCAGTTTGAATTTGTTTGAATGATTAAATTTGATGAACTTGATCCACTGAACACTGCTAGTCTCCAGTATGTGATGTAACCATCAGATAATGTTACATAGTCAACTGAGTGCATGCTACATCTTTGGGTATCGCATATACAGTAATGAAGCAGCTTTAAAGACTTGATAATCAGCTCTAACTATATGAATGGCTATTGTAATATGAGTGCCCATTTGCTGAGTCATTGTTTTAGGGCATACAGAGCCTGAACTTTTATTATGATTTATCAATTTTTTTCTTGCTGTTGCACCACCACAGTTGACTCTTGCTGTTTTCACTGTTGCCACGGTGCCTTTATTGATTATTGATAAAAGATATTGATATCTTGAGTGCATCTGCAAAGCCAGGCTTCCTCTTCATGCCAGACAGGATCAATAGTCCGAGCAACAACCTTCAGTTGTCCTTCCTAAGACAAACTAAGTGGTTGCTGCTCAGGTCTTGGTGGGTGGCGCCTATTTTTCTGTTGTTTATAATTAGCACTCTCCCGTTTTGGTGGTTTGAACTATCAAAGCTTATTCTTTAAGGACTTGTTGGAATATTAAGCTTAAACTGGTAACTGTGTTTTGCAACATGGGAGCTGGTTTCTAACTGGACTTAACTGGTGATTAAATTTGTTCAGCGTAGACATTCGCTGGTTGACCAGTCACCATGTGCCACCAAAAACCAGCTTTACCATCGTGGTGTGAGTCCAAAATTGTCTACCAGCCCATGATCATTTTGGACATTTGGACAATCGTTTTACTAATGAATGGAAATTCAGCGAATTTCCATGTGCAAAATTCCAGGAATTTCATTAAGAATCCACACAAATGGGAATTTTGTGTAAGGGCAAAAGATTTCCCCATTCAGATTTCACATCTGGTTCAAGTTGGTCATGTGAATTCACCTCATTCACCAACAGAAAGCTACTTGGATTGAAAGTGACTTCTGTGTGAGCAGCGCTTGTGCTTTGCCCACAAAATGTCACTGAAATCTTTGCTAATGTGACCATATCTACCATTTTCTATCACATAGGTAAGGGCTTAAACTGGATTTTCTAGCTTGGCTTAGTTTGGCTTAGTTTCATTACTTTACCCATTTTGCTTGATGATTTTTGCTCTGTTTTGATGAAGTATTAGCAACCTTTTCCCCTAAATCAAACTAAAAACCAGATACTTATAGAAGTTGGGCTTTCACTGTCAACTATTATTGCCGAAGAGGAAATGCATGCTTGGAAGGCGCGGAGGGTACAGAGAGGCCTGGTTTGGCTGAAGTCTAGGAAAGCCCACTCCGGAAACATCCATTGACGTGTTTGCACAAAGACCTCCTCCATTGCACCCAACCCTCTGTAGGCCACACACTCAAGCAGGTGGTCAGACCCCACAGACGTGTGTGTTTGGATACTTCCTCTCTGCAGCGACTGTTAACGGTCCTTTTTTTTTGTGCCGCAGTAGACCGCAGTTGAATGTATCAACAAACCGTACATTTTGTCCTACAGAATATGTAAAGCTGA